GGCTTTTCTCTGCCAGTGAGTGGCACTCCAGAGCCAGGCCCCAGCCGCCCTTTAGGCAGCGGCTGGGCCCGCGGGAACATAAAATACAGGCAAACAAAGATCAAGAGGCTGCCGTGCCTGGGAAGAGGCTGAGGGGGCCCTGGGTGCTATGCGGACGGGCTCCCTTCCCTGCTCCGTGGCCGGTGCTGGGACAGGACCCGAGCCACTCACCCGAGACCCCTCTGCCTCCTACCTGCAGCTATCAGGCGAGTGCCTGGCTGGCAGGGTCTCTGCTTTGGAGAGCTCCTGGTGGCAATGCCCCTTTGTGGCTGGCTGAGGTGCTGTGAGCCTGGCCTGTGTGCTTGCTTGTAAAGGAGAATCTGTCAAGCCAGGTCTACCATGCCTGTTGCCCAGACCGAGGGCCGCCGCGTTTGTTCTCATGTGACCCTACCCCATTCAACTACTTCCTCTCCGGAGGAATCCTGCCCACCTGACTCAGCCCAGGTGTGGACACATGTGCATTCTAAACAGAGGGCATTTTGTTTGTTTGTTTTAAATTTATTTGTTTACACAAAGCTTTTTTTTTTTTCCAGTCATGGGGCTTGAACTCAGGGGCTGGGTACTGTCCCTAAACTCACTTGGCTCTACCACTTTGAGCCACAGCTCCACTTGCAGGGACTTTCTTACCTGGGTGGGCTTTGAATCTTGATTCTCAGATCTCAGCTTCCTGAGTAGCTAGGATGACGGGTGTATAGCTTTTTTAATTAATTGGAGACACTGTCTCACTGCATAGTCCAGGCAGCCTTGTGTCATTATACCTCTTTCATTGCACCTGCATCCTCGGTGCTGAGATTAAAGACATACACTACCACACCCACCATGTTGTTTAGTCCTTTATAAAAGGGGGGCTGTAGCCAGGAGGGCCAGGAATTCATTCCTGTAATCCTAGCTACTCAGGAGGCTGAGTTTGGAGAACCAAGGTTAGAAGTCAGCCTGGGCAAAAAAAGTCAGCAAGAGTTAAACAGCAAAATGTGATTGTAGGCATGCCTCAAGTGATGGAGTACCAGCCATGATCAAGGAAGCTGAGCAAGCTGGGTGCCAGTGGTTCACGCCTATAATCCTCACTGAGATCTGAGGACCGTGGTTCCTTCAAAGCCAGTCCAGGCAGAAAGTCCATAGACTCTTACCTCTAATTAATCACACACACACACACACACACACACACACACACCTTGAATGGAGCTATAGCTCAAGTGGTAGAGCACCAGCCTTGCCTTGAATGAAAAAGCTCAAGAACAGCACCATGGCTTGAGTTCAAGCCTCAGTACAAGCAGAAGGAAGAAGAGGAGGAAGAGGAGGAGAAGGAAGAGGAGGAGGAGGATAGGAAGAAGAAGAGGAAAGAAGGAGGAGGAGGAAAAAGAAAGAAAGCCAAGCAAGAATGTGGGATCCTGAGTTCAAGTCCCAGTATCAGCATAAATAATATATTGCTGAGCATCAGTGGCCCATAACTGTAATCAGGAGACTGAGATCTGAGGATCACGGTTCAAAGCCAGCTCAGGCAGGAAAGTCTGTGAGACTCTTTATTTTTTTGCTGGTCATAGAGCTTGAACTCTCAGCTTGGGCACTATCCCTCAGCTCTTCAGCTCAAGGTGAACGCTCTACCGCTTGAGCTACAACACCACTTCCGGTTTTCTTTCTCTTTCTTTTTATTTTTTATTTATTTAGTTATTTTTTGGGTCCGGTCGTGGGGCCTGAACTCTGGGCCTGGGTGCTGTCCCTCAGCTCTTCAGCTCAAGGCTAGCGCTCTTGAGCCACAGCGCCACTTCGACTTTTTTCTTTTTTTTTTTTGGGGGGTCCTGTTGTGGGACCTGAACTCTGGGCCTGGGCACTGTCCCTCAGCTCTTCAGCTCAAGGCTAGCGCTCTACCACTTGAGTCACAGCGCCACTTCCGGCTTTTTTCTTTTTTGCTTATGTGGTGCAATCAAACCCGGGGCCTCATGCATGCAAGGCAAACGCTCTACCACTGAGCCACCTTCCCAGCCCCCCACTTCCGGTTTTCTAATGGTTTATTGGAAATAAGATTCTCACAGACTTTCCTTGCCAGGCCGGCTTTGAACTGTGATCCTCAGATCTCAGCCCCCTGAATAGCTAGGATTACAGGCATGGGCCACCGGGGCCTGGCTTCCATGAGACTCTTACCTACAATTAACCACCAGAAAAAAAGTGGAGTTGTGGCTTGAAATGATAGAGTGCTAGACTTGAGCAAAAATGGCTCAGGGATTTGGAAATGTGGCTTAGTGGTAGAGTGGTAGAGTGCTTGCCTAGCATGCATGAAGCCCTGGGTTTGATTCTTCAATAACCACATACATAGAAAAAGCCAGAAGTGGTGCTGTGGCTTAAGTGGTAGAGTGCTAGCCTTGAGCAAAAGAAACTCAGGGACAGTGCTCAGGCCCTGAGTTCAAGTCCCATGACCCTCAAAACAAATTAACATTTAGCTCGTGCCTCTGGAGGCTACGAGTCTAAGATCTGGCACCCCATCTGGCCTCTTACAACTGCACCTCAACTTGGATGGTGGAAGAAGAAGGTGTTTCCAGAAGAGGTAGAAAGCCAGGAGGGCCTGCCTTACTCTCTAATAACCTGCTCTGGGGATCACCAAGCCAGTCTCTCAAGAATGAATGCAGTCCTTGAGAAAGGCATTAATCCTTAGTAATGACCTAATCACTTCTTAAAGGCCCCACCTCCAAACTCCAGCTTGGCAACCATCGTTCCTCTCAGGTTTCAGAAGGGACCAGCCGCGCTCCAACAGTGGCAGCAAGTGTGCCCACAAATGATGGTTTTGGCAAGTTGAATCTGAGGTAAGAACGGAACTTCCAGATAGAATCAGAACTGGAAGCGCCTGAAAGCCATTGACCTGCCGGGGTTCCAGCCCTGGCTCTGTCATTTAACTGCTGGATGACCTGCTCAGTTAGTTCACCCAAGTCTGTTTACTCATTGTGGAAATAAACACAGTACACACTTCCTCAGCTTGACTTGACTTGATTACATTGGGTAATTGTGGGAAGTGCTTGGCTTGGATTTCTCAGTGACTGGTCCATGTAAGGTTATTTTGTTTTGTTTTTTTTTGTTTTTGTTTTTTTCCTGTCTTGGGGCTTGAACTCAAGGCCTGGGCCCTGTCCCAGGGCTTCTTTTGCTCAAGGCTAGCACTCTACCACTTGAGCCACAGCAAGACCTCCGGCTTTTTCTGTTTATGTGGTACTGAGGAATTGAACCCAAGGCTTCATGCATGCTAGGCGAGCCACCTTCCCAGCCCCTGTTTTGTTTTGTTTTAACGCTGTTTTGTTTTAGGTACTGGTACAGGGCCTGGAAAGCAGGGACTTGCTCTCACTTGGCTTTTCTCAGTTCATGGCTGACCCTCTACCACTTGAGCCACCATTCTACTGCCAGCTTTACTGAAGACAACTGGAAATAATCTTTTGTCTGCTCAGGCTGGCCTCAAACCTTGATCCTTAGCTCTCAGCCTCCTGAGTAGCTAGGGTTCATAGGTGTGAGCCACTGACACCCAGCTGATGTAGGTGCTTGTAACATTTCCAGAAGTGGCTGGTCTCCCATTTCATTAAGACTCCTCTAGGTAAAAAGGAAGCAGGATTCAAATGGGCCTAAACCCTTTCTTTCCCAATGTTTGCTTGCTTCATTCCAGCATTGGGATCACCAGTATGCCAGAGACTGCAGAACACCTTAGAAAATCCATAAAAAGGAGATATACCCCAGTTTGCACGTGGGCAGCTGGGGAGGGGGGATGCTGCCCTTCCTGAAGGAAGACCTCCTGCTAAAGGGGGGGTTGGATGAGAAAGGGAGGAGAGTATTCCCATTGGGCCAGGAGCAAAGACATCAGAAGAGGAGAGGAATCTTTTTTATTGGTGGGGGAGGAGGGTGTGGCATACCCAGGGCAAATCCTGCTTGGATACAAGAGTCGTTTAAGGGTTTCCTTCAGGAAGAGTGGCAAGGCTTCCAGGAGTGCATGGTTTGTGCAGGGCATTAATTCGGCCTCTTCATCGTGCTGGAACCTCCAGGCCACCCTGTCGAGCCTGTCACTGGAGAGAGAGTGGCCAGTTCCTGACGCGGAGCACTCCCTGGGCACCAGACTGGGGAACGTGAGCCCCAGAGGAGGCTCACCTGTGAGTGACGAGGGTCTCAAACCCAAGGGAACACTGGACGCAGGGAAAATCGCAGTCGTAGGGTTTGAACTCAGGGCCTGGGCGCTGTCCCTGACCTCCATCTGCTCCAGGCTAGCACTCTACCACTTGGTGCCACAGCTCCACTTCCGGTTTTCTGGTGGCTCCCTGAAGGTAAAGAGTCTCTTGGGCTTTCCTGCCTGGGCTGGCTTTGAACCACGGTCTTCAGATCTCAGCCTCCTGGGTAGCTAGGATGACAGGCTTGGCACGGGCGCCCGGCCTGCCTGGTTTCTGACCGTGGTCCCCTGTGGAGGGCTGCCCAGTGGTGCACACCTAGCACTCCGATCCCAGCAGATTCCGGGTGCAGCCCCCGGCTCCTGCGTCCCAGACCCGCCGCCGCCGCCGCCGCCGCGGAGAAATGGAAATGATGTCCCGAGGGTTGCCTCGGGGCAGCGATCCACGCTTTCCATCAGCTTTTCTCTCCTTTCCCGTCCCCTCCCCGCACACCCGGCGGCCGGGGCAGGGACTGCGGGCTCCGACGGGAAAGAGAGGCCGGAGGCGGCCGTCCCAGGGCGCAGACCCGCCGCGTCCAGGCCTCGGGGGCTAGGGGCGCAGTTGTGGGGCGCAGGGCCCCCTCAGACGGCCCCCCTCCCCCGGGCCTGGAGCGCCGGGGGCGGGGACAGGACGCCCTCCCCCGCCCCCCCGCCCGGGCCCGCGGGCCCGCGGCGGCCGCAGGGTCAGAGCGGGGCGGGGCCGGGCGCACCGGCCCGGAAGCCGGGCGGGGCGGGGCGGGTGGGGGCGCACCGGGCGGGGGCGGGGCCGGCGGCGCACGGGTTAATGTGCGCCCCGCCCCGCCCGCACTGACTCAGTTTCACCAGAAACTAGAGGGGGAAGGAGGTGGCGGCGGCGTCCCCCCTGCGCGGCCGGCACGGGCGGAAGCCGGGCCCGGATCGTCGGCAGGCCCGGCCCCACCGCACTGCACTCACCTGCGCAGGTAACCGGGGCCGCGCGCGCGCAGGCGGAGGCGGAGGCGGAACGGGCTTGGAGCATGTCTGGCCGTTTGTCCTGCGCCTGTGCGTGTGTCCGGGTACGTGAGCTCCGTCCGTCCGTCCGTCCGTCTGTCCCGAGTGCGGCGCGCGGAGGAGTCGCGGGAGGGTGCGCTGGGGGGCCGGGCCCGCGCGCCCCGTTCCATGGTGGGGGGGGATCCCCGCACTCCCCTCCCCGGCTGACCCGGGCGTCTCCTCCTCCCCGTCCCCCCCCCGCGCCCCCCAGGTCACCGGAGGAGCCCCGAAGTCCGCGCGGTGAGGCCAAGCCCCTCGGGGGCGGGGAGGAGGACGACGACGATGGCCGGCGCCCGGCTCGCCCGGGCCGGCACCTCAACGGTCGCCGTGTGGCTGCTGTGCGCGCTGGGGCTGCGGGGCGCCGGGGCCGGGCTGCCGCCCGCGCCCCCCGAGCTGCCCGGGGGCGCCGCCTGCCTGGAGCGCTTCACCACCGGGGTGCCCGCCTTCGTGCTGGACATCGAGGCCTCGGTCGGCAGCGGCGCCACCTTCCTGGGGTCGCCCGAGGCGCGGCGCGGCCGGGACTGCGTGCGCGCCTGCTGCGCCGCCCCGCGCTGCAACCTGGCGCTGGTGGAGCTGCGCGCCGACGACGGCGGGGAGGACGCCATCGCCGCCTGCTTCCTCCTCGACTGCCTCTACGAGCACAACTTCGTCTGCAAGTTCGCGGCCCGGGAGGGCTTCACCAACTACCTCACGCAGGACGTGTACCGCGCCTACCGCGAGCTGCGCAAGCTGGGCTTCGGCGGTGAGGAGGGGCGGGGGGGGGGGGGGGTGCGGGATGGACGGGGCGGCCGCGGCCCGGGCGGCAGGGAGAGGAAGGAGAGCCGGAGTCCTTCCCTCCGCTTGGAAGTGGCGGCGTAAACGGGAAGCAAAGGAATACAGCTGGGGCTGGGGAGGTGGCTCAGCGGTAGAGCGCTTGCCAGCATGCATGGGTTCGACTCCTCAGCACCCCATACGCAGAAAAAACCGGAAGTGGCGCCGTGGCTCAAGTGGTAGAGCGCTGGCCTTGAGCACAGAGAGGCTCAGGGGACAGCACCCAGGCCCTCAGTTCAAGCCCCAGGATTGTCGAGGGAGAGTCCCCCAGCTGGTGGGAGCCCCGACAGGCTGGGTGCAGCCTGGTGACCTGGCACTGGCCTTGTCAGGTGGACCTGGCCATAGCCTTTCCCCAGTGGCGGGTGTGGGACTGGCTCACATCTCCCGCCCTCCCAACAGCTTGGTGGAGGGGGGGGGGGACACCCTATGACACAGACAGACTCCAGAGACTGCAGAGCAAACCCAGGCTGGGGCCGAGCCCCTGGAGAGGGGGGCACCGTGTTGTGGGGCATATAGGCCTGGAGGCGCTGGGGTGGGGGTGAGGAGGGTTGCTGGGTGAGTCAGCCTGCCGGCATGTGTGTCTGGTAGGTGAGGGATGTCAGCTGGCCCGGCAGGTGTGTGTGCCCATCCACGTGAGCCAGGCCAGGCCTCGGCTCGGGATGGGCAGCCTGGCTGTCTGCTCACTTTGTTTACTTTCAGAGATCAGGGCGAAGTGGGGGCCCAGGGCTCACCCACTTTCCTCCTAGGACTAGATACTCCTCCCTGCTCCCCTTAGAACCTGCAGCTCTGGCCAGGTGGGGCCTCATGCCAGCCCTCTCTGAAAAGGCACTGCTTGTTATTAAATAATTTGCCCACAATAACAGGTCCATAAAGGGTAATCGTAAGACTCATCCCACAGGAGTGTCCCCAAAACATCCTTCACGTGGGACCACCTTTCTCGTAGAAACCTAGCACTCTGACCCAGAACAGAAAACTGAACTGGGTGGGAGTCAGGGTCAGGGTTGTCTGGGGCTGAGTCTGAAGTGGTCTCAATTTGGGAACTCAGGAGGGACTTCCCTCTCTGCTTTTTACTGGACTAGTTCTTCTCCCAGCTTATGGGTCTTTCCTTTTTCCTAGCCTTCCTGTGGCTTTCTTTCCTGGATGTCTGGGAGGAGGGGATTCTGGAAAGGGATGGATACCATCCTGGGGCCTTGGAGTCCTCCTGGACCAGGGCTGGAGCCTGTTCCACCAGGAAGCAGCAGGCAGTGTAGGTGGTGATGACTCTGCCTGCCTGCCAGTGCCCTTCCTGCTCTCCACGGCGCGTGGACTCCCAGTCCTGGGCCACAGCCTGAGACTCAAGTCTGGTCAGGTCGCTGAGCCAGATCAGGGCCACCTGGCCTTGGGTCTAGCCTTCCTCATCTGACAACCCCCAGAACTGGCCCACTTGTCCAACGTAGGGTGGAGTAGGGATTTCCTGGGGCATGGAAGGAGCAGGTGGGGCTAAGGCTGGGTGAACCCCAGCGTTCTAGGCCATCTCAGTGTGGCAGTTTTGTGAAGTGAGGGAAGCTTTGAGTGTGTCTGTCTGTATGTCTGTCTGTCTGTCTGTCTGTCCGTCCGTCCGTCCATCCGTCCGTCCGTCTGTTTGTCCGTGTCTGCATCCACGGTCAACTGAATCCAGCTGGAGTCTGGGGCCGGAATTGGGGAGATAGACAGGTGGGACAGGTGGCCATGAGTGGATTCTAGTGTAGGATAGAGAAAACCCGCCCTGGACGGCTGCTTTGTTTGTTTCCTCTTCCCAGCCTGTGGCTAGGCCAGTCCAGTCCAGATTCCTGCAGCTGGAGGCCCTGCAGCTTGTCCCTCTGGTCCCCCAGTTCCGGCCCTCCCCCACTCGCAGTGGCTCAGGAGGCGGAGTCTTTGTTGTTTCCCTGGAGATGTCCTGAGGCCTGGCAGCCCCGAGGCTGACTTTATTGCCATTCTAGCCCTTTGCTCTCTTGGGGGTGGGAAGAAGGGAGTGGTAGGGCAGCTTGTGCTCCTTGGTCCTGGGGCTGGGTGAGACATACCTTGGGGGGGGGGGGGGTCTTGATTCAGCTCAAGGTCCAGCCAGCTCCTCCAGCTCCTGACCTACCTCCTGGGGTCCTCTCACCTGATCACAGGCCACGCCTGAGGCTATGTTGTCACCACACAGCACTTTCCATTCCTACTCTCCCTGTCCCCTTTGCCCTAACTCCCTCCCTTTGCCCTGAATCCCTTTTGTCATGTGTAGCTGTCTGTACACCTGTTTGCCTGTGAGACCTCGCCCCTGCCAGCCCCTCAGCTGATAGCTCACATCCTGGGCTCCTCTCTGTGACCACTTTCGAGAGTCCCCCTTGGCTCTGCTTTCTCTGCCTCACCAAAGAGGAATCCTGTGACTCAGCCTCTTGGGCCGTCCTTATCTCTTAACCTCCTGTTCTTTGTGCACTCTTACATTTGACCCCACCCTCCCTCGCCTTGGTCTGCCTGTATCGCCCTGGACACTGTTCCCCCTGTAGGAATACATGTTTCTGCTCAGCTTACATGTGGGTACAACAGCTTCGCAGCCACTCCCCGTAGCACTGTTCCTACTAATGAATTGGACATGATCGATCGCTGAGTCTCAACATGGCATCCAACCAAACACCGTGATGCTGCTTGAATAATAATAAACCATAACAAACCCTACAGTGGGCAGCATGGAGTGAGTAGGAAGGAAGGAATGCTGTGATTCAAATACGATATTCACACATACACGCAAACTGGTCAAAGTGGATGCCTTTGGGGTAAGGAACCTTGAAATTAAGGAGAAGAGGGGACCTCTGTGTGTGTGTGTGTGTGTGTGTGTGTGTGTGTGTGAGAGAGAGAGAGAGAGAGAATTGCTTCATGCTGTTGACAACCTCTGGGCTACACCCAAATTTATTTTACATACTTTTGCATGTCAAATAATTTTTGTTTTTTGTTTTTCCTTTCATCTATTCAAAAATATAACAGATGGGGGGGGGGAGGCTAACCAGAGCCTGAGACCCCACAGTATGCCAGCTCCTAACATAGACCAGCCGTTCAGGGAAAATGCCCACACTGGTGCCCAGTACACACAAACGATACAGCTTTTTCGTAAATACACTTGGGGCTGGCTCCAGCCTCTGGTGCCCATACCCATCTCCCACTGCTGCTGGATCTTGGGGTCCTCCTTGCCTGAGATTCAGTTTCTCTAGGAATAAGCCCACACGTTCCCCTAAGTCATGTTTCTCTTCTGCCTTTGCATGCTCTTCCCTCCGTGTCTACACACACACAGCCTCCTCGGAGAAGTGAGAAGCAGCCTGGTGTTCCTCACATCCACCTTTTCGTTCTTCCTGCTGACTCTTGTTGCATCTGCTCTGGGTCCCTGCCCCAGTGTGCCCTCTTGCTCCCATGCTGCTGCACAGAAACTCGTCCAAGCTCCTGTGGAGCAGGAACTCCCTGGCCCCCTGGCTTTGGACTCCTGGAGCTCAGTCATGGGGGGCGGGGTGAGGTCAATGTCTGGTGCATGGATCTCCTGGACTCCACCCCACCCCACCGCTCGAGCCCCGGGTGTCTACCTGTACCACTAGCCTTTAAACATTTCAGTGTCATATCCAGACACCGTGCAGGGTGCTTTGAGGTTCTGTCCCAGGCTGGCTGGTCTCACTGTGCACCAAATTCTAACTCCTCGCTTCCTTTTCTCTTGGTTTCTACTATCCACTGCAACACCCGTGTTCTTCCCTATCACCAAACACATTCAAACAAAAGCAACTTTATTCTCGCTCAGTTTGGAAGCCGGAAGTTTTACATCAGTGTCACTGGGGCCATACTGCCTTCAAAGGCTCTGGGGGTGGGGAGGGGGCGCTGCTTCACACCTCTTGCAGCTCCTGGTGGCTCCGGTGTTCCTCAGCTTGTGGCCGGCCACACCACTCAGTCTCTGCTGACCTTCCTTCCTCATCCCTTTTTCATTTGCTTTTTAGAGACAGGGTCTCAACCTCTAGCCCATCCTGGCCTGGTACTCCCTATATAGCCCAGGCTGGCTTGGAGTGAGTCACTTGCTGCCCCGTCTCTCTATAATTTCCCTATAATTACAGGTGTGCACTGCCACACAGGGCTGTTTCTTGATTTCTCTCCCTCCCCCAGGATGGGGGGTGCACTCTCACCTACGAGGCAAATGCTCTCACCACTGAGCCCTCTTCTGTTTCTTATAAGGAGACTTGTCACTGGATCTAGGGCCTACCTACCTAATTCAGGATGATCGTATCTGTGAGTCCCTTACATAATTACTTCTGCAAAGACAACCCTCCCCTCTCTTTTTTTTGGCCAGACCTGGGGTTTGAACTCAGGGCCTGGGCGCTGTCCCAGAGCTTCTTTTGCTCAAGGCTAGCACTGTACCACTTGAGCCACGACGCCACTTCTGGCTTTTTCTGTTAAGGAATGGAACCCAAGGCTTCATTCATACTACGCAAGCACCCACCTTCCCAGCCCCCAAAGATCCTTTTTAAATAAGGTTTGTAGGGAGCAGGGGTTTACTGAGGAGACATCTTTATGGGGATACCATTCATCCTACTACAGGCAGGACTATGCGTGTGCGCTCACTTGACCCCAAACTCACCTGGTTCAGGAAGCCTAGACCAGGCTGTCAGGCCCTGGCAGGGCATGGTTCCCTGGGGATCACTTGTAACCTGAGGCAGAATCTAAGGTGACCACAGGTACCTGATTCCTAGTCACTTACCCAGGGGTACCCAGGCCTGTTGTGTTGGCTTGGGGGCAGGGAGGGGAAGGACTCTGAGGATTTGGTTCTGACAGGCTTCTCAGGGGAATCTAGGCCACACCAAGAGGTACTTAGTTTCACTTACATATTTCCTTCTTTTTTTGTATGTCAGTCCCAGGGTTTGAACTCTGGGCCAGTGCGCTGTCCCTGAGGTTTTTTTTTTTTTTTTGGTCGGCCGTGGGGCTTGAACTCTGGGCCTGGGCGCTGTCCCTCAGCTCTTCAGCTCAAGGCGAGCGCTCTACCACTTGAGCTACAGCGCCACTTCCGGTTTTCTGGTGGTTTATTGGAGATAGGAGTCTCACAGTCTCTCCTGCCTGGGCTGGCTTTGAACCACGATCCTCAGATCTCAGCCTCCTGAGTAGCTAGGATTACAGGCGTGAGCCACCAGCGCCTGGCTTTGTTTTTTGTTGTTTTTTTTTTTTTTTGCTGATGGTGGAGCCTGAACTCTGCTTGGGTGCTGTCCCTCAGCTGCATCTTCAGCTCAAGACTAGCGCTCTTACCACTTGAGCCACAGAGCCACTTCCGGCTTTTTCTGCTTATGTGGTGCCAAGGAATCGAACCTAGGGCCTCATGCATGCAAGGCATCTACCAGTTTAGTGGAGATAAGAGTCTCACATCTGGGCTGGGAAGGTGGCTCAGTGGTAGAGCGCTTGCCTCCCATGCATGAGGCCCTGGGTTTGATTCCTCAGCACCACATAAGCAGAAAAAGCCAGAAGTGGCGCTGTAGGTCAAGTGGTAGAGCGCTAGCCTTGAGCTGAAGAGCTGAGGGACAGCGCCCAGGCTCAGAGTTCAAGTCCCATGACTGGTCAAAAAAAAAAAAGTCTCACATCCTCAGATGTCAGCCTCCTGAGTAGCTACGATTATAGGTGTTAGCACCTAGCCATTTCTTCATTTGACTACTTTTTGAAATTAATTTTATTGTAAAGGTGATGTACAGAGGGGTTACAGTTACATAAGTAAGGTAATGAGTACATAGTGTATTTCTTGTGGAACATTGTTACCCCTCCCTCTTTTTTTCTCCCACTTTCCCCCCTTTTCCCTCCATCCTCATTTGACTTTTTTTTTTTAAATTGGTTGTGGGGCCTGAACTCTAGGCCTGAGTGCTGTCTCTCAGCTCTTCAGCTCAAGGCTAGTACTCTACCACTTGAGCCACTTCAGACTTTTTTTGCTTATGTGGTGGTGAGGAATCGAACCCAGAGCTTCAGGCATGCAAGGCAAGCGCTCTACCGCTAAGCCACCTTCCCAGCCCCACTCATTTGAGTTCTAAGGGTCTTGTTACTTTAACCTATATAAATTCTTAGCACAAATACTTGCTTATTGTAGAATGCAAAATTAAAATTATTTCCTTAGGGCTGGGAAGGTGGAAAGTCTGTGAGACTCTTATCTCTAATAAAGTGCTTCGAAAAATCTGGAAGTGGCACTGTGGCTCAAGCGATGGAGGGCTTGCCTTGAGCACAAAGAGACTCAGGGATAGCCAGGACTGGAAAAAACAAACAAGCAAACAAAAAAAGCTAACAAAAAGCCAGGCTGGAGACATAGCTCAGTGTTAGAACACCAGCCTAACAAGCACTAAGTACGTGGTTGTCTCTGAATGGGGAACACCCAGGCGGGGTGCTGAGCCCCGGGCGGGGCTGGGTATGCTCAATAATCCGCCACCCCTCTTCTCCCCTTCCACTCACAGGAAGCTGACCTTACCTCACCTTCCCCCGCAGGGTCCCAGATCCCCAGGTCCTGGGTGGGCATAGACTTGAAGGTACAGCCCCAGGAACCTCTGGTGCTAAAGGATGTGGGCAACACCAACTGGCACCTTCTGGAGGGGGCCACAGATGTCAGAATAGAGGTGAGACTCTGGGCCGGCTCCCTGATTGCTTGTCCCCTCCGCCTCCCGGGACCCCCGGGCCATATGCTGCACAATGGCTGCAGGTGGCATGGGTGGAGAGAGATGCTCTTCTCCCTCTCCCCAGGGGGTAGGCAGATGGCTGGGAGGAGCTGGGGTGGTTGGTCATCCGCCTGATGACCAGTCCTGTGTGTAGAGGAACAATCCAGACCAGGTGGAGCTGTGGGGACTCAAGGAAGGCAGCTACCTGTTCCAGCTGACCCTGGCTGACTCGGCGCAGCCGGAGAGTCCGGCCAACGTCACAATCACCGTGCTGTCCCCCAAGCAAACAGAAGGTATGGGGGGGGCTGGGCCGGAGGCCCCTGAGCACCTGCTCCCCCGCTCCCCCCATGGATGGGTCGCACCAGCCCCCTCACACGCTCTCCTCCCTCCAGACTACTGCCTGGCCTCCAACAAGGTGGGGCGGTGCCGGGGATCCTTCCCCCGCTGGTACTATGACCCCACCGAGCAGATCTGCAAGAGGTTCATTTATGGGGGCTGCTTGGGGAACAAGAACAACTACCTGAGGGAGGAAGAGTGCATGCTGGCTTGCCGGGACGTGCAAGGTGGGCCTCTGAGGGGCAGCCTTGGGGCTCACGTGGTGGGGTCCCAGGGCGCGTGGCCTCGTCACCAGCCTGGGAGGCGGGCGGTGGGCGTCCCCCTGCCCCGCCCCTGCTCACTCGGCTCATCTCTCCCCAGGCCTCTCAATGGAAAGGAGCAATCCAGGTGCGCTTTCCTCCTATGTCTATCCCCGCCACTCTGCCAGGTCTCCAGCCCTGTCCAGACCATGCCCCCACCAGCTGCCTCTGCCCAGCCCCCTCCCCTCAGTGCACAAGAACCACAGGCACCCCACCGGCCCTCCCAGCTTCTTTCATGCAAGGAAAGCTGGGCCTGGTGGAAGGGGCCAGGAAGGCACCTGTTGGGAAGAGCCTTGAAGCCGCTCTGCCTGAGCCCTTGTGTCCCCATGCAGTGTGCTCCGGCAGCTGCCAGCCCAACCAGTTCCGCTGCAGGGATGGCTGCTGCATCGACAGCTTCCTGGAGTGTGACGACACTGCAGACTGCCCCGATGGCTCAGACGAGACCACCTGTGAAAAATGTGAGACCACCCCCCGCCCAGGGTGGAGGTGGGGGCGACAGGCCCGGCCCTGCGCCTCAGAGACCCACAGAGGGCCTGAGCTTCTGGCTTCCTCCCTGCAGACACCAGTGGCTTTGACGAGCTCCAGAGCATCCACTTCCCCAGTGACAAAGGTGAGTCAGGTAGGAGCGCTGCCATCCTGCCTCCATCCATGCCGCGGAGCCCCCGCGGCTGCTCTGCGGGCCGTGCTTCAGAAGCCAAGGCCAGGAACTGCTCAGCAGCCTGCTCCCTGGCTGGCCCCTGGGCGCTCTTCTGTGGCTCTGCTTCCCACCCAGCATTTGTCTCTCATCCTCTGAGCTGAACACTTTAAATCACTTCCTCATGGCCCCCCCACATCACTGTGGTAAGAAAGTTTATCATCACAACATCGGTCCTAAGTAGAAAACCACTGTGACTTGCCACAAGTTGAAAATAATAAAACAACATAGCAAAACAATATTGATAATTTTGTCAGTCATGGGGCCTGAACTCTGGGTCTGGGTGCTGTCCCTCAGCTCTTCAGCTCAAGGTTAGCGCCCTACCACTTGAGCCACAGTGCCACTTCTGGCTTTTTTCTGCTTATGTGGTGCTGAGGAATTGAACCCAGAGCTTCATGCATGGGAGGCAAGCACTCTCCCACTAAGCCAATTTCCCAGCCCCCAATATTAATAAATTTTAGCTGAGCCTGGCACCAGTGGCTCATTCCTATAATGCTAGGGGACTCATGTGCAAAGCTCTGAGAATCTTAGTTCAAAGCCAGCTCAGAAAGATAAATCAGTGACTTACCTCCAGTTAACTACCAGAAAGCCAGAACTAGAGGTCTAGCTCCAATTAAGCAAGATTGAAGCCCTGCGTTTAAACTAGCAAAAGGCAATATTGGGCTGCTCTGTAATACCAGTACTTCAGAGGCTAAGTAAGGCAAGAGGTTTGAGCATCTGAGGCCAGCCTACGTGCATAGTAAGGCCCTGTCTCAAGAAAGAAACCAGTAGCCGGGCGCTGGTGGCTCACGCCTGTCATCCTAGCTACTCAGGAGGCTGAGATCTGAGGATGTGGATCAAAACCAGCCTGGGCAGAAGAGTCCCCATGAGACTCTTATCTCCAATTAGCCACTCAAAAACTGGAAGTGGCACTGTGGCTCAAATGGTAGAGCTTTAGCCTTGAGCACAAAGAGGCTCAGGGACAACACCCAGGCCCTGAGTTCAAGGCCTACAATGGAGAGAGAAAGAAAGAAAGAAGCCAATAAATAGAACAAGGGGGAAAAATAGACTGCCCGGTGGTAGAAAACAGAGACTGAGACGTAGTCAGAAGAGTTAAAATGGAACAAGAAAGCTGAGTGTGTGTACCTTCCCATGGTGCCTGAGCTTTATCCAGAATTGATCTTCCTTGTTTCTAGCAGCACTGGAGATGGACCTGGAGTTTCCAGGGCTGCCCTCCCATAGGGTGGGCAGGGAGGCCCAGAGGGTTCACTTACCCCTTTTCCTGCCCTCCAACCCCCAGGGCACTGTGTGGACCTGCCAGACACTGGCCTCTGCCAGGAAAACATCCCACGCTGGTACTACAACCCCTTCACTGAACGCTGCGCCCGCTTTACCTACGGTGGTTGCTATGGCAACAAGAACAACTTCAAGGAGGAGCAGCAGTGTCTGGAGTCCTGCAGTGGCATCTCCAGTGAGCCATAGGGCTGGCAGGGGGGGGGGGGGGTGTTAACTGGTGGGGAAGGCCTTGTACGCTGCTCTGTACAGAGTACCCGCAGGGGCCGTGGCAGAGAGGGGCAGGGGCACTGGGCCCAGGTGCGTCTTGGGGACCTGAGTGCTCACTGGTTTCTCCCCATCCCTTTGCAGAGAAGGATGTGTTTGGTCTGCGGCGGGAAAGTTCCATTCCCAACATAGGTAAGTCCTGGTCTGCCCTGCTACCCTTCCACATGACTGCCTGAGAAGGATGCCGAGGTTACCCACAGAGAGGGAGGGTGCCACCGGGGGCCATCCATGAGGGAGGAGGGGGCAGCGAGGGGAGAGCGGTCAGGGCTGCCGTGAGCTGCCACTGGCAGCGGGGTAGCTCTGTGTTTCCCTTTGCCTTGGTCCCTTCTTCCCCTAGGCTCTGTGGAAGTGGCTGTGGCCGCAATCCTGGTCACCTGCATCGTGATTGTGCTAGCCATCCTGGGTTACTGCTTCTTCAAGAAGCAGAGGAAAAGCGTCCGCAGACACGGCCACCACCCTCCCCCTACCCCGGCCAGCTCCACCGTCTCCACCACTGAGGACACGGAACACCTGGTCTATAACCACACCACAAGGCCCCTCTGAGCCCGGGGCTTTGGTCAGCTTGGAAGAGGCTCAGACGAGACTCCTGCCTGTGTCCCAGGCCCGCACGGCTCCCCTCAGAAGCCAGGGCTCTAGCCCTCCTGAAGCTCAGCTGAGCACAGGCCAGTTGTGTGTGCAAAGTTGTGTGTGTGTGGAAAAGACACAAAGGGCTGGCTGGGAGGAACAGGAAACCTTCCCGCCTAGAGGACTGTACATAGTAGGAACTGCCTGTCTGCGGTGCAGAGGAAGGTGGAATCTTGGGTCCTGTTCACAGCAACCTGCCCCCACCCAGTGTCACTGGAAAAGGACTCCGGGTGGCATCAGAAGCTGGACGCCTTCCACATGTTGCCCCCCTCCCCCCCACGTTGCACAGCCCAGTGCTAAAAAAGGGAACACTTCCCTGTGTAGTTTGTGCTGTAAGAAAATGGCTTTTTCAGGGCTGGGGTCCTAACTCTGAGGTCCTGGGTTTCACCCCCAGCACCTCAAAAACATGAAAATGAAATAAAAAATAAATAAAAATGTTTTGTTTTGTAGGGGTTTCTATTTCCCTGTTCTTTTTTGTGGTGGTTGTTGATCATGGGGCTTGAACTCGGGGCCTGGACGCTGTCCCTAATCTCTTTTACGCAAGGCTAGAGCTCTTCCGCTTGAGCCACTTCAGCCACAGTCTCACAGACTTTCCTGTCTAGGCTGGCTTTGAATGACGATCCTCAGGTCTCAGCCTCCTGAGTAGCTGGGATTATAGGTGTGAACCCCCAGTGTCCAGCTAGTTTCCCTGTTCTTTTCTCTTTTTAGTGCTGGAGGTGAAAGCCAGGATATCACACAAGCTAGGCCAGTGCGTCCCCAGCTATATCCCCCAAGCCCTGTTTTGTGGGTTTTCTACCTGGGTTCTGTTGGCCAAGAGGACAGGTTGCTGGAGGCGGGGGGGGGGGGGGGGGGGGGGGGGGGGGAGCATGGGACTGCCCTGTCCAACCGGTTCAGGCTTCAGCCACCCTGTTCAGCAGGTCTTTCCACCTTTCCCCGAAACTGCCCTGGCCCCAGAGGGTAGAGAGAAATGCCAGGTTTGACCACCAGAGGGGAAGGTAAGGGCCATGGTGCAGGGGGCTCAGGGAGGCTGAGGTGCTGCTGTGTAGAACTGCTTCCCATGGAGCCTCTCACCAGGCCTGCTCAAAGCCTGGTGACCCCCTCCTGTAGTGGGGGGAAGGGGAGGGGTGTCGTCTCACTCTCCACCCAAGCTGATTGAGGCACCCCGCTCTAAACTATTTCCCCTACATTTGTTCAAAAACTGCCTGATAGTACTGGGGAAAAAACTAATCGATCTGTTAATTTAACAAATCATACTGAGCTCCTATAGGCCAGACACTGCCAATCATTAGAAGTTTGGCCTGGTCAGCTGGGTGCTGGTGGCTCCCGCCTATAATCCTAGCTACTCAGGAGGCTGAGATGTGAAGATTGTGGTTTGAAGCCAGCCCCAGCAGCAGTCATGTGAGACTTCTCTCCAATTAGCTACAAGAAAACTGGAAATAGACCTGTGTCTCAAAGTGGTAGAGCACTAGTAGTCTTGAGCAAAAAACAACAACAACAACAACAACAAACGCAAGAGCAGTGCCCAGGACCTGAGTTCAAGCCCCACTATGGCACACATACAAAAAAGGAAGAAATTTGGCTTTGTCATGATTTAAGCAGAAGCTGGGTACTGGTCGCTCACGCCACCAGTAAACTGGATCTGAGGATCACAGTTCAAAGCCAGCCTGGGCAGGAAAGTCAGTGAAACTCTTTATCTCCAATTGACCACCTGAAAACCAGAAGTGGAGCTGTGGCTCAAGTGATAGAGCACTCACTGTGAGCTGAAGAGCTGAGGGACAGTGCGCAGGCCCCAAGCTCAAGACCCACGATCAACAACAAGAACAGAAAGATTTAGGCAGATGGGAGGGACTGACAAAGTGCTTCCCCTGTCTTGGCAGCAGCACACAGTCCTATGTGGAGGATGTGATGTGATGAGCCTCACTTTTACAGGCCGGAAAGCTGACAGTTAAAGGTGAGTTCCTAAGAGTTGCTGGTAAGAGAGGACTGGGTCTGGATCCCAGCAGGATGGAGTTGCTCAGAAAGCAGTGTGACCGAGAAAGAAGCACATGTGAAGTCCTGCGTGGACAGCTCAGTGGGCCCCCACAGCCGCGCACGCTGCGTGGAAGAAGCCGGCTCGGCACGCACACCAGGCCCAGCCGCCTTTAGTTGGTCATGTGTTGGTATGTGTCTGCCAGGATCCCCTTTTGCACCCTCTGCCTATGCTCACCCTGTCTCCACTGGGTTGCCCTGGTGGCCAGCACACCCCCGTCCTGTCAGCGGGACCCTGGGCACAGCGCACTCCTTTTCTGTTTACGTCTCCTCTCTGCTGGCTGTGAGCTCCTGGGGCCGCAGACGGCATCTTAGTCATCTCTGTGACCTCAGTGAATGGCGGTGGTTCAGTGATGACTGAGTGGCTGGCAAGGGTGGGGCTCACTCTCTTTGCTCCACTCATGGGGTGCCAGGATTTTCCTTCTGTCACCCTACGCCGTCGAACAGTGACCAACATGGAGTATGTGCTTGGTAAGTAAGTGCTAGCTGGAGCAAGCATCCTCTGGGGAGAGGCCGTGCCAGGTTCCCAGGGCAGGTGCCCTCTGGATGACAGCTGGCTTTGGCGGGAGGGATGATCTTGCAGTGGACGCTAGGGGGCGCGCTCGCCACTCCCGGCGGCTGGGTTCTCTGCCTGCCAAGGACCTAAGGGGAGTCCCATCACAGGCAGGTGGCAGGGGGTGAGAAGGAGGGCGGAGGGTCCCCTGCTCTCCTGGAGCTTACACTTCAGTGCAGTGAGCAGCGATGCAAATACTGTACCAGTATTTGGGACGCGAGCTGGCTGCTTGTCTATGGGACCTCCCCGCCCCATCTTCTGCTCTGTCCCCCACTTGATCTTTCTCTTGCCTACCCTCATGCTTCCCACTGGCCACTGCCTCCGTCTCTACCTCCTATGCCTTTTGCCCCCTGGAAAGCTCTCACTTCACCCCATGCACAGTCCAGTGACAAAGCTTTTTCCTGGCTCTCTAGCCCAAGTTCATTGTTGTCCTGTCCATTGGCTTACACTGTTTGCAGCCCTACTGCAAACAGCCCTCCTGCACATGTAAGCCAAGGCCTGTGTCTACCCTCAGCCTCACCTGCATCACAGGCCTTGAGACAAGGGCTGGGTCTTATTTACATCTGTTTCCTAATTATCCAGCAGATGCTATGGCAAAGTGGCAGAGGCTGGTCAAGCCATGAAGATTAAGAAGGTTAAGATGTAGATTTGCCAAGTAGGCATCAACTAGATGGGTAAGGGTCTCAATGAGGTATGCCTACACTCACAAAACTGATACAAATGGGGCTGGGAAGGTGACTCAGTGGTAGAGCTCTTGCCTTGCATGCCAGAGGCCCTGGGTTTGATTCCTCAGCACCACATAAGCAAAAAGAAAAAAAGCCAGAAGTGGCGCTGTGGCTCAAGTGGTAGAGTGCTAGCCTTGAGCTGAAGAGCTGAGGGACAGCGCCCAGGCCCAGAGTTCAGGCCCCACGACTGGACACAAAAAAATATATATATATATAAAATAACAAAACAAAACAAGACTGATACAATACACACAATGGACTATTAGTCTTTCTTTAAAAGGGAAACTCTAGGGGTTGGATGCCAGTGGCTCATACCTGTAATCCTAGCTACTCAGGAGGCTGAGATCAGAGGATCGTGGTTCAAAGCCAGCCCAGGCAGGAAAGTCTGTGAGACTATTTCCAATTAACCACCAGAAAACCAGAAGTGGCGCAGTGGCTCACATGGTAGAGCTCTTGCCTTGAGCTGAAGAGCTCAGGGACAGCACCCAGGCCCAGCGTTCAAGCCTCACAACTGACCCCCAAAAAAGGGCAATCCTAGCCAGGCACCAGTGGCTCATGCCTACCCAGGAAGCTGTGATCTGAAGATCACAGTTCAAAGCCAGCCCAGCCAGAAAAGTCACCCAAGAGACGCTTATCTCCAATTAACCAGTCAGAAACCAGAAGTGGAGGGGCTGGGAAGGTGGCTCAGTGGTAGAGCACTTGCCTTGCATGCCTGAGGCCCTGGGTTTGATTCCTCAGCACAACATAAGCAAAAAGAAAAAGCCAGAAGTGGCGTTGTGGCTCAAGTGGTAGAGCGCTAGCCTTGAGCTGAAGAGCTGAGGGACAGTGCCCAGGCCCAGAGTTCAGGCCCCACAACCGGACCCCCCCCCAAAAAAAAAGAAACCAGAAGTGGACCTGTGGCTCAAATTGATAGAGCACTAGCCTTGAGCAAAAGAGCTCAAGGACCAAGCCCAGCCCCACAACTGACACAAAAAAAGGCCAATCCTGACATGCTAAGACAGATAAACATTGAGATTACTGTAAATGTAATAAACTACTCACAAAAAGACACATCATACGATTTCACTTCTCTGAGGTACATAGAGTAGTTGAAATGAGACACAAAGCAGTGCGGTGGTGGCTGGGAGTGGAGTGATTGCTTAATGTGTATAATATTTCATTTTACCAGGTGAAAGAAGTTCTCGATGTGGCCAGTGGTGATTACACAACATGAATGTACTTAATGCCACTGAACTGTACAAATAATTTAGTTGTGGGCTTTTTTTTGTTTGGTTTGGTTTTGGTGAATGCGCACACACTTGAACTCTGGGCCTTGACATTGTCCCTGACCATTTTTTGCTCAAAGCTAGCATTCTAGCGCTTGAGTCGAAACTCCACTTCCAGTGGGCTTTTTGTTTGTTTTGGTCACGGGGCTTGAACTCAGGGCCTGAGTGCTGTCCTTGAGCTCTTTTGCTCAAGGCAAATGCTCTATTAATTTGAGCCACGGCTGTACTTCTCTCCTTAAGCCTTACGGTAGAGCTCTCCTGCCTTCCCAGTGGGGCATTTGTCTCTGAAACCTATTGGTCCCCTCAGTTTAAACAAACTGACAAAATCAGGAGTTTCTACCAAAGCCATCCATGCCCTTAAACAAACAGTCCTGAGCTAGGAGTGGTTAGCTCTATTACACAAAAACCACTCCCATCCCCACCCAAGGCTCTAAAGCCTGGGAAGGCTTAAGCTCCCCCTGGGGTGTGGGGGAATTAACAGGGGGGGTCCTTAGCCCCACCTGGAAGCCCAAACCCAGAAGCCCCACTGAGTAGGGTTCTGTTCAGCTTCTCAGGTTAACCTCCCTACTCCTGAGTTCTAGCAATCCTGTCTGAGCCTCCCAAGCATCTGGGACTACAGATGTGTGCCACCGTGCGCTCCTTTAGTTTGCATTTTCTGATTTTTTCACTAGTATCTATTTCTTTTGTAAAAAGAAAATATCCTCAAGCTGGGTGCTGCTGCTCAGTTCCAGGCCTGCCTAGGGAGAAAGTTGCAGAAACTTCTTCTCAACCAATACTTGGGCATGGTGGGAAGTACCTTTCATCTCAGCTGTAGTATGAAGCCTAAAATTGGAAGGTCACAGACCAAGCACTTGCCTGGGAAGGAA